TCTCTCTCTCTCTCTCTCTCTCTCTCTCTCTCTCTCTCTCTCTCTCTCTTTCTTTCGTTCTCTCTCTCTCTCTCTCTTTCTCCTATCCCTCCTTCCCTTTTCTTTTTTGTTTTTTTTGACACAGAGTTTCTCTATGTAACCTGGAACTCACTCTGTAGACCAAACTAACCTCATACTCACAGAGATCCCCCTGTCTCTGCCTCCCAAGTGCTGGGATTAAAGCACCATACTGAGACTTGAGTCCCTTTTATTCTAAACTAAGATTTTCTATGGGGTGCCTACCATCCTAGGTTCGGGGCTTCTCTTAGGTGGGTCCCACCTTTCTAACCATGGCCTCTGAAATCTTAATCTGTAGTTGAGAGGAGACACAGGTTCAACATCAATGACCGCATCAAGGAGCTGGGAATGCTGATCCCCAAGGCCAATGACCTGTGAGCAGGTTTCTGGAGGGAGGGGAAGGGTCTGGGCTGGGCAGAGACTGCAAACATTATCAGTTCTCAATTGCTAAAGGCAGTGATGGAGGTAGAGTGTTTGAGAAGAGAATATTCCTGCCTCTGCTGGGTCAAGACAGCTTCTGTAGGGGAAGGAGACTTTGGGGTAAAGGGGGGACTTCCTGGAGAAGGACTCATGCTGGGAAAGTGGGTGAAAGACCCTGATGGAGAGGTGAGAGACACAGGGCAGGAGTGAGAGCTGAAGGCAAGAGATGGGCTGGGCAGATTGCTCTGTCCCAAGGATTAGTGATGAGCTGGACAAATTTCCATAGACAAATCCCCTCTACTCAAGGCTAGGTATGGGAAGGGGTGGAAGCAGCTGGGACTCTGAACCAAGCCTAGTGTTAGGGGGACCTGGCCGGGCCTCTGGGTGCTCACCTCTGACTCCGTGTGGTTGTGGCTGCAGGGACGTGCGCTGGAACAAGGGCACCATTCTCAAGGCGTCTGTGGATTACATCCGGAGGATGCAGAAGGACCTGCAGAAATCCCGAGAACTGGAGAACCACTCTCGGCGCCTAGAGATGACCAACAAGCAGCTCTGGCTTCGTATCCAGGTCTGGCCCTGACTTTGGGCTCCTTGGGTGGCTTTCACTAATCTCATCTGGTTCCCGAGTCCTGGGGTGGGGCATAAATGCTGCCCATCAATCAGGAAGCTGCGTCAGTCAGGACGTGATGCCTCAGTGAAATGAACCCCAGTTCCTTCCGTTCTGTGAGACCCTCAGCCTGCAGTCAACACTGGGGACCAGGCAGGTCTATTCTTCTTAAAGTCAGATACTCAGGTTATGCCCCACTTTTCAAAAAAAAATTTAGCTGGGCGATTGTGGCACACGCCTATAATACCAGCACACAGGGAGGCAGAGGCTGGCGGATCTCTGTGAGTTCAAGGCCAGCCTGGTGTATAAGAGCTAGTTCCAGGACAGGCTACAGAAAACCCTGTCTAGAAAAAACAAAAACAAGGGCTGGAGAGATGGCTCAGAGGTTAAAAGAACTGACTGCTGTTCTGAAGGTCCTGAGTTCAATTCCCAGCAACCACATGATGGCTCACACCCACCTATAATTAGATCTGGTGCCCAGAACACTATATACATAATAAATAAATT